ATCCCAACACTTAGTGATTCTGTGAAAATATACAGAAATTTTTATTTTTATTAATTTAGTAAATTGCTCTCGCAAATCAAATTAATATGTGTATACCACAAAAAATAAACTAACACATAGAGGAAAAAACTTCATCTGTGTCCCCTCTCTCATTTCTAGTCTTACTCCTCCTTCCTGAGATAGCCATATATCTCAGGTGTGCATTCTTCCACAATTTTCTTCCTACTCTTACAAAGTGTGTATATGTGTGTTTTAGCAATCAGTAATAAATACAGGATTGTTTTAGCAACAAGCAATAAATATAGAATTAAATGTGCTCCTTATGTTTAGAAATATAAAGCATTCTTCCTGATAAAACAGGGGCCAAATAAAAAAAAATCACACAGCAAACATGGTATTAAGAAAATAATATACTATGGCCCTATGAGACATATACCAGGAATTCAAGGATGGGAATTTTATTAATAAAATTCACCATATGTATCTCGATACTGTAAAATTCACTTGATATATCTAAAAGGAAAATTCATATGACTATCACTACTGATGCTAAAAAAAAAGCCTTTGACAAAAATCAACATGAGTTTTTTACAAACCACTCAAGCATACAGGAGTTTATGGATACTTCCTTAGCATGACTATGTATTTTCATACTAGCGCTTTACTTAAGGGGAAATATTGCAGGAACAAGCCAGAAGGACCACTATTTCAATTAAAATATTGTCCTCTAAGTATGAGTCTATGTAATTATACAAGAGAAAATAAATAAACATGAAATTTGAAAAGAAGTAAAATTATATTTGCAGATGATATGATGATATAGCAAAAAACCCCTAGAGAATCCATTTTAACTCAACTAATAAAAAATTTACAAAGGTAGGAAGCTATAAAATTAATATACAAAATCATATACATAACTAAATTCAGAATATCTAATGGAAGAGAAAATCCTATTTACAAAACCAACCAGAAGTTAGAAGTTTTAGGAATGAACTTAAGAAAAAGATAGAGAAGTGTGATGAGGAAAAATTGTAAATACTTCAGTAGGATATCAAAGTAGACCTGGTCAAGTGGAAGGACATTCCTTGCTCTTGGTAGGCTATCCAAACATTATAAAGACATAGTTTTCCAAAAGATAATTGAAAAATTCAATGGACCAAGTAAAAATAACAACAAGCTTTTTTCTGGAACCAGAGGAGTTGACTCTAAAAATTACATGGAAAGTAACATGCAAGATTAGGTAGGAAAAGCATACACGTGCTATGAACGGGCCGGCCCAGTGGTGCAGCGGTTAAGTGCGCACATTCTGCTTCAGTGGCCTGGGGTTCCCCTGTTCGGATCCCAGGCGCGGACGAGGCATCACTTGGCAAGCCATGCTGTGGTAGGCGTCCCACATATAAAGTAGAGGAAGATGGGCACGGATGTTAGCTCGGGGCTAATCTTCCTCAAAAAGAAAAAAGCAGCCGTGCAGGCCATCTTCAGCCTGTGTCAAATGACCTTGCAACCCCCACACCTCATGACTGAAGATGCCAGCTGGACAGATCCACAACAGAAAGAGATAAAGGAGTACCTCACTCTCACATTTTCCAGCTGCGTTTCTTAGAGAGTGAGGGGCTAATTAACTACCCTAGTCCTTGCCTCCCTCCGCACACAGATAATGTCAGCATCTCTGAACATGCTTGATGCATAACGAAGGAAATCTTGTTTATGTTACCTTCAATGTATAATCTAGAGAAAAACCCACATGTACTCTATCCCTTTTTTTTTTTTGACATATATGAAATCTAGTTGTAAGTTTCTTCTCTTTTCCTCTTCCCCGCATGTGCACTGTTTTGTGAAAGAGATATAAGCTGTACTTAAAGTCACACGCCTCGGAGCAGTGCCATCAGAGCCCTCTGCTGAACTGTTTTCCTGGGGTTTGAACTTCCTACGCTCATTATTGAATGAACTCCTTCACTCATATCACCCAGGCTCTTTATTCCAGTGGACATATCTAAAGAGTGAGTTCACTAAAGAGGGAACAACAGCAGGTAGATCCTGAACGGGGGTCGACAACTGGAAGAAGTGCGGATTTTCCGGTCTTTAATGACTGTTCCTGAGGGCAAGCTGTCGTTGGCACCATGCAAAATGCCCAAAGCCCAGATAGAGCCCCACAGTCCTATTGGTCTAAAGAACCACAGCACAAAGTTCAGGATAACCACAGAGGCGGCAAAGTACGAGGAAATCTGGGGGAAAAAAGAGCCACAAAGATGGTACCCCAAATTTTAGATATAACCTCTATCCAAGTGTCTGGCTGAGCCCTGAATATGCGTGTATGATGCAGATACCAAGCAGTCCACTGAAACCTAAAATAACAACTGAGATTTCAGAATATGGAGTTTGAATTTAGGCAAATTAACTGCTGAAGGAAAAATAATCTATACTCTTTGGGAAAACATAACAAAATCCAGTCTCTGGATGTATCAGGATACGATCCAAAATTACTAAACATACAAAGAAAGAAGAAAATGTAATCCAGGGGCCGGCCCGGTGGCATAGCAGTTAAGTTCACACGCTCTGCTTCAGCAGCCCAGGGTTCGCTGGTTTGGAAGCCGGGTGCAGACCCATGCACCGCTTATCAAGCCATGCTGTGGCAGGCTTCCCACGTATAAAATGGAGGAAGATGGGCACAGATGTGTGCTCAGTGCTAATCTTCCTCAAAAAAAAGGAAAAGAAAGTGTAATCCATATTCAGAGAAAAAAAGTTATCAATGGGGAGACTAAACCCACGATAACCCAGATGTTAGAATTAGCAACGATTTTGAAGCAGATTTTATAACTATGGTCAAGATGACAAAGAAAAATAAGTGAAGAGAAATAGTAACTATATAAGGAACCAAATGAAAATTGTAGAAGTGAGTAACACAACATGCAAAATATAAAGATCACTGAATATGAGAGAAGAGTCACTTGACTTGAAAATAGATCAATAGAAAGAAACCATTTGAAAGAGAGAGAAAAGACTAGGGGGAGGAAATAGAGTGGTAGGTACCCGTGAGGAAATATTTTTAAAGTATAAACAACACAAATAAATGGATTCTTCCACAGATAAAAAATTATAAAAACCAGATAAAATATCTAAAAACAACTATCTAGAGGAACCAGAAAGCACCCCGAAACACGCAGACACTGGAGGAACGTTTCCACTTGATAACATGGCCTGAAACTATGGCAGCAGATCCAGGATTGACGGCAGTGAAACCTATGCTGACTGCAGTGGGAAACAGCAGGCCTTACCATCTCACGGTGCCAGAGAACAGAATTCAGGGATAGGAAAAAAGCCGGGAATTTAAAGGGAAAATTCTGAAAGTGGGAGAATCAGAGCGGGAATAAACATCCAAATCTAAATATGAGTTCCTCCCCAATCTCTGACTAAGACCAAAACGATCCAGGTGCCGAGGGGATCCCCGAGGGCCTGAGGAACCTCTCTGCACGTTCTAAATTATCTCTAAATAAAAAGCTTTTTAAAAATGCTTAAAGTTCAATGATACTGAAAATCCTACATTTCTAAGCCTTAGAGTTTCCATTAGAGCTATCTGTAGAGGTAAATTTATATCCTAAATGTTGGTATAAGAAAAAACTAAGACTGAACATAAAATACCAAACATTTAGTAAAACAAATAGTAGCTCCCCCGCAGGAAAAAACAGCAGAAAGAAAAATGTCACTTTAAATGACGACATATGTGACATAGGACAGGCACATCTGGCAGGTCTCTTGTAAGTATGGTTTTCTTCTCAAACTGTTTGTCATTTTTCCACATTTTCTCCTCTAAATGAATTATAGGATCAGTTTAAGTTTTGGGTGAAATTTCTCTAAATTCACAGGTTAATACAAGAAGAATATCTTTAGAATGTGAGATAGACCTCCTAATCATTTCCTTTTCTTTACCGCTCTTCAGGAAACGATTTTTACTTACTTTCAGCTTGCACATTTCTTTTCAACTTATTCCATTTTTTCTCCATGTCGATTTGTCTCTTATTTTCTAATTTTTCTTCCTTGTATATAAGAAAGTTAACGATTTATCTCTCCAACTGAACAATCATATTAGTATTCACATGCTTTCCACTGATTCTCTTGGATCACCCAGCAATGCTGTTACATTACCAGTAAATGATGACGGTTTTGGGTCTTTTCTCCCATTGGTACCTGACTGTATCCTTGCTTGCTCCAATGCGTTCTCCGAGGCAGGCAGACTGATACATTTCAAACCTGGATTGTAGCACATCACATCACGTCACGTCACGTCACGTCACGTCACATCCACACCCCTGGATAAGCTTTCACTGGCTTCCCTTTGTATTTAGGATAAAAGACAAAATTTTTCACAAAATCCTGCCATCGTCCCAGCTTCATCACCTCTCCTTACCCAGTACACTCCAGCGACACAGTGTCCATTCGATGACTTGAGTTTTCAAGCTCGCTCCTACTTCAAAGCCATCTCACACTCTCTTCTTTTTGTCTGCAAAATTTTCCATTATCCATATGCCAGCATCACTCTTAGCCATCATTTTGGTCTCAGCTAATGTCACTCTATCTGAGAGGCCATCTCTAATCCTTCATTCTAAATTAGGTACCACTGGTTATTTTCTCTTGGAGCAAATATCTGTTAGCTTTCGTTCAGGTTTCTTGCTGCCATTTATATAGGATTTTGTAGTTAATTTGTGTTTCACCCCCTTGAGCTTAAATTCAGCATCAGCAGGAGGCATATTTGTTGTGTTATCTCTACCTACCCAGCACCCAGCAGACCACCTGGTCCACAGAACGTGGTCAGCAAATATTTTTGAAATGATATGAATTGGTTGAATTTCATCTGCACCTTTCTCAATATTCGACCATGTGATTGTCAATCACATTTCTGGAGTCATCACAGTTATGCTTGGCCCCATAGGAGGCAAGATGTATGACTGTGAATTTCTGACATAGGTTTTTTTCTAGTTAAAATACACACACACACAAAGGGCTTAAAATAACCCTGCAGGTGAATTTAATGCCATCTTTACCAACAAACAAGAATGTTTTTAAAAAACAATCAATAAGTAACAAATACCTCCAAGATCCTGCTTTTTCCATTTTAATGTGAATATGGTATACCAGGGAACAAAGAAAGTCATATATAAGAATAAGATCTTACAACAACGTATAAAAGAGTACTGTTTGCATATCACGAGAGACTCACATACTGACTAAGAGGAAAGTGTGCCCCACAAAGTGCATAAAGCTGCTGGGCCTGACGAATGGAGGTCAAAGATCCAGTTGGAGTCTAGGAGTAGTTAGATCTACCTGCCAATCAGTTTGATTACCACCAATATCTATGCATTTTGTGATCTATTTATGCCTTCCTTCTAATGTTTCTCTTTCAGTAAAAATTGTAGCAAGACCCACTTGCTTGCCCTCATGAAGAGACTTTTCTGTAGAGTAACAGTGCTGGCTCCATAAAGAGCTGTGAGACCTAAAGACAGTATTACTGAGTTCCCACAGAAAAACCCTCTCACGCTGACCTTAGTCAACATGACCGCCTTCCTTTTCTCCAACAATGAGGGTACTGCCAGAGTCAGAGACTCTAGAACCAGAAAGAGAATAACACAACTGGTCACAGATCGAACCGGGGCTGGGTGAATCAGTGTTTCCTTCTGGAAAGGTGACACCTGGCTCTGATCCATCAAATCGCAGCTCTGCTCCAGGCTCACAAAGAAACGTGCACTATAACCTGTGCTTTGGGAGGCCAGAAAAATAAAGATACAAACAGTGAAAAAGTAGCGAGTATTGACTCTGTGCCAGGCACTGCTCTCGGGGCTTTAAATATATTGATTCATTTAATCCCCAGATAACCCAACAAACTAAATACAGTAATTATTATTCTCATTTGGCAGATAATAACAATGAAACAGAGAGTTCAGGCGTCCTGCCCAAGGTTACACAGCTAGTTAGTGATATATGTGCACTTGACCCCCACAGTCCACATCCTAGGGATCCTGTCTTATCCACTTTGTTTTGCTATAGATTGAAAATTTCTGCAACAAAACCCAAGACGTCTGCTGGGTTTGCTTTTTCCCCCGAGGGGGTTGGTGCTTCATGGGTTTCTCTGCACGAAAAAAAATTTTTACACTGACAGCAGAGATGAGAGAAAAAAACACTTGAGTATTGCAAGTGCCATAAAGGCAAGCATCAGTCAGAAATAAACATGAAAATTAAAATAAAATGGAATTGTGAAGGACAAGACAAATATTGGTAAGTCAGGCACAATCAGACTTGCTACTTGGAGCCAGAGGCAGCAATGTTTGAGAAAGCTCCCTGCTTCAAGAGTGCTGGAAATAATCCCTGTATCTTAAAGGGGACTGACTTAAAGATGATAAAAGAGCAAGAAGCAAGGACTTGGAAGAATATTCACATAAGGGGGAAACGTAATAAGAGATATGAGAGGTAAAAGTGATTAGAAACATAGAAATACACACAAAGAAAGAGTGAGATTAGAACAGAGCTACCAATTCTGTATTTCTAACCCATTTCTCAAGAAGTGGCTCAGTCCATTCAGAGAAAATACCAGTAGATAAAATTTATTGCTGATTCTCCACTGTTGGCCTTTAGGACTGGATACAGGAACTTCATGTAAGTTAATACTGAATGTTCAGTGTCAGAGAATATTCTTATCCTATTTTACAAGGATAGCAAATGAGGGACAGAAAATTTTTTAACTTTCCCAAGGTCACTCAATTCTAGTAAATGGAAGGCCAGTTCTGATCTGACCAGAAGTATGTATTGTCTCATTATTCATAAATATCTTGGAGAGGACAAATTCATTGGTATACTGGTAAACGTGGGTGTGGTCTAGGTATAGTCTGTCTCTGTGCTACTCTCTCTGTGCTTCTCTCTCTCTCACACACACACATACACACACACATACAGAAGAGTCATTCAAATCCATTCCACAAAACCTCCCAAACAACACAAGGTAGAATTGGGAAATCAATAAAGAGAGTCGCACAGAGACGGGGTGAAATTTGATGACGGCTGCTGCTAGCTGCATGTCTATCTTGCTGCAAAGTATGGAATCCTCTAGAATCCTGCAGAAGAGACTGACATGAGTACTATTTGCTAGAGTATTGATAGGTGCTGGCACTGTCACCCTCTTTAATATTCAGCCACTCTATTTAGTATTCAGAGTGATGCTGTGTTCCTACTCCTGGCTCATAGGTTGGGAAGCTGAGACACACTGTCAGGAGCTCCCAATCCCCCAGCTTGTAGGAGGCAGAGTAAGGAATTGAAAAAAAGCTGTTCCTGGCTCCCAAGGCTGGACTCTTACTCTGTGCTGCTTTTAAATGGTGCCTTTCAGTGGTGAAGAAAAGCAAACAATATGACAACCCCACTAGGACCCATGCCCATCCATTTCTCCAGTTCCATTCAAATTCTGAAATCTGTCTGTGAGGGCAACGCTGGAGCAGTGTAATTCTGAGTGCACATGTGTGTGCAGCGAATAGGGACCACAACTAAAGAATCTGAACATTGACCCTGAACTCTCGACACCAAAATTTATCAACTGCCTTGAGTCCGGTTCTTAGCAATTTAAGCCAATGGAAAACCTCAACCTCATTCTTAAAGAGAAAGAGGAGAGAGAAGAGCAACCCTTTCCCCTCAGGCTGGCCTCAGCCTCGGCAATGTTGAGCCCCCTTCAGGCTGAGTACCCATGGCCGTCCCCTGCCTACTGTGAGGTCTCCACTGTTACACTCTCCTGTCACCATCAGCCCAGAAATGAGTCCAGAGCTTTGGAAAAGCTGTCCTGAGACCCAAGGGACCACCTCTGTCCTGTCCAGTTCTTCACCTTTCCTCTCTTTTTAGACACTCTCTCCCAAACCTTATTTGAGTCTGAGCCATAATGCAATACTCACCAGGGTTGATCTCTGTTCCTGGATTTGGCAGCAGAACTGTGGCCATCAGTAAATATGTGGCATGTAGAGCCAAAGCAGTTGTGTCTTGAGATTCTCCGAGTTCATCTCCCCCCCGAGCTGCAATTACCTTGTCACCTGCAAGGCACTGACACTTTCTACAAAGGGACCGTGATGCATCTGCAGAGAAGCTGTAAATCTTAGTCCCAAGACAAGTCAGCATCAGTAGTATCTGGGGATTATTAGGACATGAACTAATTAACAGCAAGTGCAGCTGAGAGCAAAACTTTCCTGAGCCCAGAGCAGTGAACTCTGCGTTTCTAAGGGAGTGTGGAATGCACAGGGCATTCTCAGTGCTGTGCTGGGATAGTCCCACCAGGGTCTGCAAAGTGGATACTCATCTCCAAGTCCTGTTCCCACTCAGGGTCACAGTGATGAGAGCTGTCATGTTCGTGCTAGACTCTGAGCCCCGGTGTTTTGTTGTTGAGGACACGACCTCTGCTTGGGGTGCTGGGTCATCTAAATATCGGGAAAGCTCAGACACAACACTACACTCAGATTCTTGCAGGACTCCTTGGGCATTCCCACCAGTCCCACTCACCTCAGGCCATTCTTAAATTTGTCTTCTGCAACAGTCCTGGGGCAGCATGGTCAACAAAAGTGACTCCATTTGCCATTTCTGAAGGTGCTTCTACCCTAATTCTTGAGTCCCTACTATGAATAATGATGCATTCGTATAGTTCCACTTCCTCTTTCTTTCCTTCCACTGCCCAGGGTTAACCATAGAGTTATCTTGATGTTTCTTTTTATACTTTATGTATCCTTATTCTTCTATTTTTTGATAAGTCAATTTAGATATTTACCTCCCTCCCTAGACTAAAATGATGAGATCAATATAACCTTTTTTCCCCATTTCTCTCCCAATTTTTTCAGTTTTATCATTTCTGGAGTGTCACTGTTTTTAGCACTTACATTAGGCTCTGTAACTAAAATTACCACAATCTACTAAAGGCTTATATCTATGGTTAAATGGATTCATTGCCTACTCTCAGTTCTTTGGCCATTGTTCATCAGTTTATCTCTCACGGGTAAAATTCCTGTTTCAGTAATTCCTTCAAGAAGTTCGGAGAATTATAGTCCCTCAGTTCTTGCATGTTCAGTAATTTCTGTCTGCCTCTTGGTACTTAAAAGACTTATTTATTGGAGGTGAATGGTTATTTTTGTGATTCTGAGCCTTCACACTTAATAACCAATCTACCTTTTCCTTTATTTTGGCCATCTCAAAGATATTGCAATAAAGTGTTTTAAATCTTTCAAATTCTCTTATAATTTTTATTGTGAACAGAGCACTTTTCAAAAATATTCTGATTATTGCTGGTGCCTGACACTCAACTGAAGTTGCATATTGACCAAGTTTCTGGAAATCCTACTGGACTCTCTTACTATTCTACACGGTTGTCTGTGGATTCTCCTGTCTTTCCACATGGCAATCACATCATCTGCAGATAATGACAATTTAGTTTCTTCATTTCCAATTTTTCAACCTTCTACTTTTTATTATTGCCATACTATGCTGGTTAAGACCTCCAGCAGAGTGTTTAGCAGAAACAGGGACAACATACACTTGTCCCTCATTGCCAAGCAACTAGGAAACATCCTTTAAAGTTACATCATTAAGTATGATGTTAGCTGTAAAGTTTTGGTAGCTAATATCTTTTTAAACTTTATTTTTTATTGAGGTAACATTGGTTTATAACATTATATAAATTTTAGGTATACATCATTGCATTTTGATTTCTGTGTAGACTACATCATGTTCACCACCCAGACACTAATTATCATCCATCACCATACACACGTGCCCAGTCATTGCTTTGGCCCTCCTCCCTCCCCAATTCCCCTCTAGTAACCACCAATCTAACCTCTGTATCCATGTGTTTGTTTGTTGTTGTTGTTATCTTCTATTTATGAGTGAGATCATATGGTATTTGACTTTCTCCCTCTGACTTATTTTGCTTAGCATAATACCCTCAAGGTCCACCCATGTTGTCACAAATGGCCAGATTTCATCTTTTTTATGGCTGAGTAGTATTCCATTGTGTATACATACCTCATCTACTTTATCCATTCCTCCTTTGATGGGCACTTAGGTTGTTTCCAAGTCTTGGATATTGCGAATGGTAGCTAATATCTATTAAAGTAAAGAAGATGTATTTACACCTGTTTTGCTAAGCAGCTATTTTTTTCATAAATAATGTTGATTTTTTTTAAAAGATTGGCACCTGAGCTAACAACTGTTGCCAATCTTCTTCTTGTTCTTTTTTTTATTCTTCTCCCCAAATCCCCCCAATACATAGTTGTAGATTCTAGTTGTGAGTGCCTCTGGTTGTGCTATGTAGGATGCTGCCTCAGCATGGCCTGATGAGCAGTGCCATGTCCGTGCCCAGGATCCAAACCAGTGAAACCCTGGAGCTGCCAAAGTGGAGTGTGAACTTAACCACTCGACCACAGGGCCGGCCCCAATAATGTTGATTTTTATCTGCATTTTGAGTGCCAGGGTTCCTGCAACATTATTCTTTTTAAATCTATTTTTACTGATGTAAAAATTCACAAAATATAAAATTAACCATTTCAAAGTAAACAATTCAGTGACAATCACTACATTCGCAATGTTATGCAACCACCAACTCTATCCAGTTCCAGAACATTCTCACCATTCTAAAAGAAAACTCCATGTCCATTAATCAGTTGGTTTCTACTCCCTCTTCCCCCCAGGCCCTGATCACCACTATGTTGCTTTACATCTCTAGAGATTTACCTATTCTACACATTTCTTATAAAAAGAAATATAGTATGTGGTCTTTTGTGTCTGGCTTCTTTCACTTAGCACGATGTTTTTGAGGCTTACTCATGTTATAACATATATCAATACTTCACTTGTATATATTTCCCTTATATATACCTGTGTGTGTGTGTATGTATATGTATATACACATACCACATTTTGTTTATCCATTCATCCCCTGATGGGCGTTTGGATTGTTTTGACCTTTTGGTGATTGTGAATAGTGCTGCTATAAACACTAATGTATAAGTATTTAAGTACCTGTTTTCAATTTTGTTGGGTATATACCCAAGAGTGGAATTCCTCGGTCATAAGGTAATTCGATGTTCAACTCTTTAGAGGGATTGCCAAATAGTTTTCCACAGCAACTGAACCATTTCACATTTCAGCAATGCTCAAGAGCTCAAATTTCTACAATGTTATTCTTAATATTAGTAAAATACCAAGCATTTTAGGAAATGCTAAGGAGAGAAGAAATGTTTGTAGGGCCCAAGGACATGTTGTCATAATAAATTCAAAGTTCCTCCATGACACAACACTTGAAATAGACACACGAAAACTCACCACATGTAACCTCTTTTTCCCCCTTCAGTCTCACGTGTTGCCTGTTTCCTACTTATTTCATGTAAATCTTTTATCTGTATATTTAAGAAATAAGGCTCTAGAAAAAAGTAGGCTTCAAATAGTGCTGGATCATCACAGCTGGCAGAAATATTACAAAAGACAGTAAAAATAAGGAGAGCAAACGTAGATGGTATAATTCTTTAGACTTCTTATTAATGAGTCAAATTACATATTACGAGACATTTTTATTTAAAAGGAAATAGAAGATTTCTATTTATATTAGGTTATATTACTCAATATTTTATAACTATGCTGAGAACTTATTAAACCCTAAAAATTATGTTCCTTCGTGTAATTCCAGAAACATAATAAAGTTAAATACATAAAGTCCATGTTACGTAGTAGAGGCCACAACATAACCCCTACAAACCTTTGTCACTATTCAATAACTGATCCTTGTTATGTTCTGATTTTTTCATATATTCAAATGGCATTGTATGTGCAGTGAAAATGTCTAATATTTGTAGCAGAATATTCTCTGGAATCCTTTCTAAAACAATTATGTTAAACCCTCATAAAATTATTTCATTCTATATATAGCTTCCAAGTCTACTTAATTACCCAAATCTAAAATGCCATCAAACAGAGAAAAGCCCTGACAATTAAATTATGACATTCGATCAACTGTAACATGAATCTTAATTTAAGATATGGTCAGATACGAAGAAACAAATCCATGAAATACAAAAATAAAAATAAAATATAATTTATCACTGATACTCTTGCCACACTCATTGCATTCATAAAATCTCTGCATGCAGCAAATTCTGTTACTATTTTTAAGAACTTATGATGCTTAATGATATCCAGTCCTTCGCAGAAAGCATTTTCGGTGACTATAATCACAGTATTTCTGTAATGTATGAGTTTGCTGGTGTAGAATAGAGATATGATTCCTTAAGGATTGCATACCTTCAATGAATCTAGAAATTATTGCCTTGTCTGAGAATACGGTCTCTCTGCTATTTGAGTTGGTGGGCAATGAAGGAGCTCTGAACTGTAAATAAAGCATTTTAGACAATCACTCTAATTCATGGTATTTCTTTCTCGCTGTGCAACAAGTTTTGTGGCCAAAGGCAGACTTTAACTGTATCCATTTGATTCTCTCCTGAATTAAGAACATATATTAATATGTCACTTTCAAAGGCTGTCCACATTCCCTGTTTCTAAGGGGTCTATTATGAGTTTACAGATGATTAGTGAGCTCTGACCTCTACATAAAGGCTTTGTGACGTTTACTACATTAATAGGGTGTCCCTCCTAAATGAATTTGCTGATGTAAGGGAGATATGCATTAATTGGCAAGACTTTACCACATTCACTGCATCTATCTCTCTCATACAAGATGTTCAAAGAGTTTTGACTTTCTAGATGCTCTCATTATCACAACATTCCTGAAATTTTTTTTTGTACAATGAGATATGATTTTTCTGGGCTTTCTTGCCTTTGCTGCAACAATGGGGTCCCTCTGCTGAATGAATGCCCCAACATATAACAAATATGATTTGAAAAAGAATGATTTTCCACTTGCACTGCATCCACAGTGCCTCCTAAATGCACTGCCTCTGACTTTCAAATGAAGTCTTTTGACAATCACTGCATTTATAATGTTTCTCTTGCGGGGAGATCCCTATGGTATAATGAGGGGATGTCTTCACGTGGAAGGCTTACAACTTTCATTGCATCTGGAAGGTTTCTTTCCTGTGGGAGTTCCAGAAGGGTGCACTATAATCATAGCATTTCTATTCTGTATGAGTTCTCTGAGTAGATATGACTAGTAAAAAAAGCTTTCTCAATTCCCACAGTCATTGCATAGCAGAGCTTCTTCTATGCTGAGTTTGCTGATGATTTATAAGAGCTGACTTCCGAAAGAAGGCTTTTTGACATTCATTGCATCCATAGGGCCTCTCTTCTGTGTCAGTTCCCCGGCGACCAATGAGAGTTGACAAAGTAGCAAATGCTTTCTTACAATCGTAGCATTCATACGGTTTCTCTCCTGTATGAACTTTTTGATGTACACTGAGATGGGATTTGGCTGTGAAAGCTTTATCACATACACTACATTTGAAAGGCTTCTCACCCATATGTGTTCTCTGATGTATAATGAGAGTTGACTTACAGGACAAAACCTTCCCACATTCACTGCACTCATGAGATTTCACTCTTGTGTGACAACTTTGCAGATGGTTAGTGAGACCTGACTTCCAGATGAAAGCTTGTTGGCATTCATTGCATCCATAAGGTCTCTCTCCCACATGAGTTCGCTGATGAATCATGAGATGTGCCTTGGTGGAGAAGGCTTTCTCACAATCCCAGCATTCATAGGGTTTCTCTCCTGAGTGAATTCTCTGATGCACAATGAGATGTGCCTTTGATGTGAAGGCTTTATCACATACACTGCATTTGAAGGGTTTCTCACCTGTATGGGTTCTCTGATCGATGGTGAGAGTTGACTTATAGGACAAAACCTTCCCACATTCACTGCATTCATGAGATTTCCCTACTGCATGATGAGTTTTCTTATGATTAGTGAGATCTGACTTCTGGATAAAAGCTTGTGGACATTCACTGCATCCATATGGTCTCTCTCCTGTGTGAATTCGCTGATGAATCATGAGCTGAGCCTTTTTCGAGAAGGCTCTCTCACAATGTGAGCATTCATAAGGCTTCTCTCCCATGTGAATTCTCTGATGTACCATGAGATGTGTCCTAACCATGAAGGCTTTGTCACATACACTGCATCTGAAAGGTCTCACTCTTGAATGAGTTCTCTGATGTAAAACGAGTTTTTACTTCCAGGGGAAAGCTTTTGCACATTTACTGCATCCATAGCATTCTCCTTCCCTATGATGAGTTTTCTGATGATAGATGAGTGCTGACTTTGTCAGGAAGGCTTTTTGACACTGATTCCATCCATGTGGTCCCTCTCCTGTGTGAACTCGCTGATGAACCATGAGCTGAGCCTTTTTTGAGAAGGCTCTCTCACAATCTGAGCATCCATATGGTTTCTCTCCTGTGTGAGTTCTCTGATGTACAGTGAGATGCGTCCTAACCATGAAAGCTGTCTCACATACACTGCATCTGAAAGGTCTCTCTCCTGAATGAGTTCTCTGATGTAAAATGAGTTTTGATTTCCAAGGAAAACCTTTCCCACATTTACTGCATCCACAGGATGTCCCTTCTTTATGATGAGTTTTCTGATGACAGATGAGTGCTGACTTTGTAATGAAGACCTTTTGACACTGATTGCATTCAAATGGTCTCTCTCCTGTGCAAGTTTGTGGATGAGTAATTAGCTTTAACTTACTGGGAAAGGCTCTCCTACAATCACAGCATTCATGGGATTTCTTTCCTGCGTGAGTTCTCTGAGGCATGGTCATGAGTGGTTTATAAGCCTTCACTGTACATTCCTTGCATCCATATGGTTTCCTGCCTAAAGGAGTTGAGTCATAGTTAGTGAGCTCTGATTCTGGATGAAAGCCAGTGTACCCACAACAGAATGAGCAAGATAACAAGGAGAGGCCCAAAAAAAGTTCTTGTTTTTTCATTTACTATAAAAAACATTAGTGAGACAACCAGTAACGTTTGAGTAAGCTCTGTAGATTAGATAATAATTCTGTATGAACAGCAATATTCTGATTTTGATAACTGTATTCTGGCTATTTTAAAAAATGACATTTCTAGGAAATACACATATTTGTAGTTAGGGATAAAGAGTTCAGAAAAACAATATAACCTCTGTGTGTGTGTGTGTGTGTGTGTGTGTGTGTGTGTGTGTGTGCAATGACAGACAGACAATGACAAAGCAAATTTGGTAAAATATTACCACTTAGGGAAATTTGTAAAAAGAATGTGCAACAAATTTGTGTATAATTTTGAGATTGCTCATTAAGTCTAAACTATTTAGAAATAAACACTTTCAAAGGAAGAAAAACAAAAAATAAAAGAAGACATTTATGTAAAGGTATGCAGGAGCATTACGCATGGTGGCCTGACTGCAGAATGGATAAATTGTAGTATATTCACATAGTGGCATCCCAAGCAATACTCCAGAACTCTTGGTCTAGTTGCTGGTTACACAGAATGTTGATTGTAAAAATTAACTGAGCTCTACACTTATATTTGTATACTTTTCTCTGTGTGTTGTACTTCAAAAAAATTTACATAAAGAAGTAAAGAAAATTTTAGGCAGGAGTCAGGAAATGCTCACATGCAGGAGGATCCTGGAAGGAATCTGGATATTATGCTAATAGTAACTGGATGGAATTCAGGATGTAACAGTGGATGACAGATGACATGTCCTGATTTTTACTTTAAAAATGTCATCCTGTAAAGAAGATGTGGTACATATATACAACGGAATACTACTCAGCTGCAAAACAGAACAAAATCATTCCATTTGCAATAACATGGATGGACCTTGAGAGAATTATGTTAAGTGAAATAAGCCAGCAAGAGAAAGATAATCTGTGTATGACTCCACTCATATGAGGAATTTAAAATTATGGAATAAGAACAGTTTAGTGGATACCAGGGGAAAGGTGGGGTGGATACTCTGGGCACAAAGGGTGAAGTGGTGCACCTACAACATACTAACAAACATTAATGTACAATTGAAATTTCACAAGATTGTAACCTATCAATAACTCAATAAAAAAAAAGTCATCCTGTGTGTATGCGCATCAGTTATCACACGGACAAAGATTTAAATATTGTGACATAAATACTATCTTTAGGCTTACGGACTGTGGTTGTGAAAACTGGTAAAGATCTGTATGTCATACAGCAGTTTTCAGATTATACTTTAGATCTTTCCCTCCATCCTCCAACTCAGAAGACTGTTCTTTCTATATGATGCTTTCATTATCTTCCACACCTGTTTTCTTCTACCCAGGTAACGACTGAAACCTGAGGTCTTTAAAAATCCATATGTTTTGAAGTTTATTTTTATGTTCATGAATTTTGAGGTAAGGGGTTGGAAACAGTGACTTCCATTATGTGCTTTTTATAAATAAATAAAAACAGTAAAATAAGACAAAAAATTCCAGCTGTTATGTGGAGAATAGAGAGAAACAAGAGGAAGAAGTGAGAGTACTTTCATGAAAATTATAAAAATTTTGGCAAGAGATAATGGACATTGAGGCTTGGGTGAAAACAATAGTTACAGAGAGGAGTGGAGGACCTCAGGATATCATAAGGAGAAAGTAAAGACTAGACTTGCTCACGGGTTGGATTTGTGGTGTGAACGAAAAGAGGAACCAAGAGTGATATGAGGTTTGAGGGAGCTATTAGATCTCCAAGTGTAGAAATGAAATATGTGGGGATAAGGGAAGCTCTGGCCTGTAGACAGAAGTTTGGGAGTTGCCAGTATATTAATTGTATTGTTAAGGCCATGAAATTGAATGAAATCACACAAGAAACAAATGACAGAAATAGGCAAGGATGATGCTTTATGGTCTCCAACTCTAAAGACTTTAGAAGATGCCCAGAGAATGGAGAAAATCCATCTAGGAGGCACAAACAATGACTTCCAAGGAAAATGCCAACTTAAGTCTTAAATATCATGGGGAAGTGGGTTAGAATGAAGGATCCTCAGCTTCTCACCTAAAGATAAGCATAGTTATCATCTCTTACTGATTCTTTATTCACTAACTAATTCTTGATGTAACAATGACCTTCTTAAAGCTCTAATATCATATTTAGAGAACATCACTGTGGTCAACATTCCCACCTTCTGGCTTGTTTTGGTACATTCTCACATGGTCCACAGAAGTCCACCTGAAATATAGAAACTGGACAGTGGGTCAAATATCCTTACCCCAGGATAAAAGGTGCTGCTGTATTAACTGGAAGAATTGCTGCATTATTTGATCAGGTAAAAGGGTTGAAAACAAGAGATGTGGGGAAAACAAGAAGTGATACAGCCAAAGAGGAAGTAGAAGAAAAGGAGGAAGTCCGGATGCTGCTGCGAAGAAAACAACATTCTACCGAACACTGAATCAATCCAAAAGAAAGAAAAAGAGGTGTATCCTCATTGAAACACCAAGCAAAAGAGATCCTCACCAATATTTAGGTATTTGTAATGATTTTCAAAGTTTTAGCCTTGTTAAACAAATTTGGAAGTGGTCACCCCTACATGGTCAACTATTTTACTTTCAAGGTCTCCCATCTCAATGGCTCACAGTTACTCACTCACCTGAACATTGACATTGCATTTCATCTTCTATTAACCATATCTCTTCTCCATGCTCAAAATTAAGGGTATCTGGTTTGGTAGCTTGATAGCCTGTTTACAGGAAATGACAAAGACTTGGACACTTATAATTAGACTTGGTGAAGGATGTCAGGAAGGGCACAAAATGTTTCAGGAACTGACAAGCTTTCACCTTGGCAGATTCACCTTGTGCTCTCACTATCGAAGGTGAAAGCACATTAAGTTCTATCTGGGAACAGAAGAGGGACTAAGAATCTATTGCCTATCAACTCAAGTCCAGTATCTTGAAGCTCTTTGAAAGCCAGGACAAATGAAAAAGGAAACACTATTGGCTGTGCACACTCTGAATGACACACGGCAATCATTTTTAACTAGCTGTAATTCTCCAACATCACATCCTGGTACAGGTTCTTCTGAGCTGAACCTAGTAGCTGCCACTCCTCCCAGGTGAAGTCCATAGATACATCCTCAGATGAGATTAATCCCTACAATAACACATTTTCTTCAATTTGTGGTGATCATTACTAATGTGAAAAAGACTTAAAAGTTTATGCTCTGGTTGTTTTCACCATAAGCTACAAACGTTATATCTCTGTGTAATAGTTTTCATTATTCATTATGGAAAGAGGTAAAATCTATCTTACAAGTGAACACTTAATTCTCAATGAATCCAATAAATTAGAAGTTTTTGAAAGGCATATTCATTAAATCCTACAGGTAAAATATCCCTAAAATATTAATTTCTCAAAAACATTTTAAACATCTATTTAAAAGGTAGAGAACTAAGTGCTAATGTATAAACACAGCGAACATCTTCACAGAGCTTTTATCTTGAGCATGTTTCAACAGAAAGAACAAACTATAGAATCAGACATGAAATGACTACACATGCAGGAATTATCAGCACAGAATATTAATAAGAACGTTTAACATATTGAAAAATAAGATATCTAAAACATAGGGAAGGAATAAGATATTATTAAAATGACCATTTAGATGTATATGAACCAGCAGAAAGTTTAGAAACAAAGTACAGTCAATTCTCATTATTCACAGATTTCTTGTTTGTGAATTCACCTACCTGCTAAAATTTCTTTGTAACCCCAAAATCAATAATCATAGCACTTTCATGATCATTTTCAGTCATGCACAGAATAATTTAAGGAGCAAATAGTTTGAGTTGTCCAATGTGTATGTTCCCAGCTGAGTTTGAACAAAATGACATTCTGCATTCTCGTTTGAGTTCTCCTAGACTGTGTTCTTTTTGTGGTTTACTTAGTGCCACGTATTTTTTCACATTTTTATGCTTTTTGTTGGTGATTTTGCTACTTAAAATGGTCTCGAAGCACAGTGCTCAAGTGTTGTCTAGTGTTCTTAAGCGCAAGAAGGCAGTGATGTTGCTTATATGGTATCTGACAAATATTAATGCACAACTGAAACTTCACAATGTTATAAACTATTATGACCACAATTTTAAAAAAAGGAGTAGTGAGATCAGGAATGATCCAAGAGAATGCCCATACTAGGAAGACCTAATCTGGTGAGCAAATAAAATGCTCCAGATGAGGTGGGC